CAGGTGTTCGCTGCGCGCCCTTGTGCCCTGAGACGGGTCACCTTTTCATACCCCATTTTTACTGACAAACGAGCCTTTGGGCAAAAGCAAACACATTTTCTCAGCTTTTACAGTAAAGCCAAGACAGGAACAGTCTGCCCAGAGGCGAGGTCTAGGCCTTGACACATGGTTTCCTATTAAAGGAAGATGTGGACTCTTTCATGAAGCAGCCTGGGAACGAGACTGCAGACTCGGTCCTGAAGAAGCTGGATGAGCAGTACCAGAAGTACAAGTTCATGGAACTGAACCTCGCCCAAAAGAAGAGGAGGTACGTGCTTGCGCGGACCCTGAGGGAGACACAGGGCATGCGGTGGAGCGGCAGGTGCTTGCAGACTCCTGCGGGACGGTTAGCAGCAGGTCTGGCAGCTGGGCCAGGCCCCCCTGTGGCAAGCAGGCTGTGGAGGTGGGAACGGGAAGCACCAGCTTTTGGGAAGGCGCTGCCTGAACGCCCCTCTGCGCTTGTCAGGTTCAGGACACACCTCCTGCTCCCTAGGAGAGTTTGAAAGGTGATGGGCTTTGAGGGCACCTGCAGGGAGGAGTTGGGGAGAGAACATGCACCTCAGGACTGAAGTGTGGGCTGCAGGGAGATGTGCCCCAGAGCATGTGAACACAGGGGGCGGGGTCCAGGCTACTGGTGGGGTGTAGGAGGGGACCCGCCAGTCAGAGGTCCTCGGAGCCACTGGAAGCAGGGGGCTGGGGCTGGGCCTGAGGGGAGAGTGCAGGCGCAGCAGACTTGGGCAAAGGCAGGAGAGCAGTTCTGGGCCTTTTGAGAGGCCTTGCGACGCGGGTGGAAGCGTGAAGGACACAGATGAGTGCGTGCTGGCCGGGACCAGTGTGGCCCGCGGTGGGGCAGGTGGCGGCTGAGACACGACTGCAGCCCCCGCGGGGTCCTGCCTGTTGGAGGAGCGGCCGTCGTCCGCCCGGGGTCACCGGCCTGAGGCCGTGCGTGCGACTCGCTCCTCCCTGCGACGCCTCCCTGCGGTCTCCGAGGAGTCCTTCCTCGTGCGCAGGCCTTCAGCAGCTCTCGCTTTTGGTGCCTTGCCGGAAACCCTGTCCTGCGGCCGTGCTTCTGAGCGGGCACCCCTGCTGCCTGCGTTTCTCCTGCAGGCTTTACAGTGATCGCTCTTCGTGCGCTTAGCGCCACTCAACCCTAAGGTAGCCCGACTTCGCCGGCTTTTCCCTTGAGGTCAGCGCTCCGTGTCGGTAAGAAGCGCTTCCTGCCCACGGCCCAGAGCCGCCCTCTCGGTGCTTCGGCCCCACCGAGATACAGGTTTCCTTTCAGTCGGCGCCCAGCGCGGTCCGGGGTGTCTGCCCTGGCGGGTGTGCGGGTCCTGCTCGGGCTGTGTCACTGCTGTGCCTGGCGCCTGGGCGAGGCGGGCAGCGCTCGGTCCTGGCCACTCAGCTCCTCCACGGCAGGCGGCAGGCGGCAGGGTGCGGTTCGAGCGCCCCGCCCTGCCAGGCGCTCGTGCCCGAGGTGGGGGGGGCGCGCTTCTCCCCTGCTGGAGCTGCGGCTTCACTGCCCAGGTCCCTTCCCGCCCCTTCGCACGTCATGGCAGGCCGGCTCGTCTCGCGTCCTCTTTCCGCGTGGGGCTCTCTGCAGCTGGGGCTCTGTTAGCATCTCTGGACAGCTTCTGTCGGCTTTTGCTTTTCTTTTTGTGGACGCGGTCCGTGGCGTGGAGGGACATTGCGCCCCTGGGGGCACCCTCGCGCGCGGCTGAGCCTTGCCATGGGGCTCCGCCCTGCCAGGCTTTTGGTGAGGACCTTTGCATGTGGCTTCTTGGGGACAGTGGTTTTCTCTCGGTGCGCTGTTGTGGGCTGAAGCTAGTGTGACGCTGGCCTCGTGGGTGTAGTCACTGGTTTCCTTCCCGAGGTCCTGCTGCCTTCCCACCAGGCGTGCCGCCTCCTCAGCGTGTGACAACTGTTCCCACAGCCTTCCAGTCTGCTGTTCAGCACGTGTTGCTGGGAGTCGCTTTTCTGGGTGCTTCCCTTCCTCCTCAGAGGAAGCTGCTGTTGTCGGGAGCTGGGTACAGCAGCCTCTGACCCGTTCCAAGTTCTTCCGCTTGATGTCGGCGAACTCAGCTGCGACCGGAGCCTCACGAAACCGCCTTTGCTAGGTCACTGCTCCGCTCAAGGCCTCTCTCAGTTCTTCCCCGCCGACGGTGCTACCTCGATGTGCCGTTGTCTCTCACTGTCCCTTCAGCTACACGAAAGCCCTTTGGTGTGTCGTGGTAATCTTCGGTGGAGCCTGCTCCCTTCTTTCTCTCACTGGGCATTTTGCCCATGGTCCCCGGCTCTCCTGCTGGGCTGCCACACGCCCCACCCTGCGACTGGCACCGGCCCCCCGGCACTGAGAGGCGACCGTCGCGTCTCTCCCACCGAATAGTTTGCTTGCTTCTCCGCAGAGCCACCTGTTTCTTCAAAATAGCTTGCCCCTGTCCTTTCTTGGAGGTTTTCACAGAACTTCCTGCAGGACAAGCTCCATGGCTTTAACTTTGTTTTCTCTGGTAGAGGAGGTTCAGGTTATTGTTTTCATCTCTTTGCATCTGCGTTTAGTGCGCTGTTGCCTTCTTTCCTCCTCAGCTCATAGTCCTAGGGAGAGCAGTCACTCCGCTGGAAGTGGGGGTGACTGAAATCCTCTCGGCCGGGGCAGATGCTGCCACTGCCACCGTCGCCGTCGAGTCCTTTGGCTGAGCAGGTGCTTGGCGTCTGCTCCGGCCGCTTAAGCTCGGGCATTATGACCAGAAACTTCTCCTTTGGATTTACTCTCTTCCGAAGACTTCTCCACTTCCCTCCTAAGCTGCTGTGCCCTGCTCGCTCCTGGGTAGGGACCTAGAGATTTCCACGGGTCGGGCAACAGCCAAGGTGTGTTGCGTTCATAACTGAATATCACACGGAGTGAAAGTGAATGGTTACATCCTAGGGAGCTACTTTACTCCCCGAATTAAAACCCATAAAGGTACAGACGACACGAGACATTTCCACCGAGCTGAGAAATCAGCAGTGACGACGGAGGGTGCGTAGCTGGGACGTGTGCGGCGGCCTTGTTGACCTGGCTCTGGCGGGCCTCTACCACCGAGGGTTTGTCCACACAGACCTGGTGCATGACCGGAAGAGCTTGACCCAAGTGTACTTTTCAGGTGTGTGCCCGGCATTTTACAAATGAACTTTTCCTGGCATTCACCTATATCAATAAGTCATATAAAAAGAAGCATATGGAGGTGTCGAGTCCCGCGGCCTGAGCCCGCAGGCACGCGAAGAAAACAGGTGCGTGCCAAGCTGTGAAGGCAGACTGATCACTGCCTTCACAGCTGCACATCTGCCGCGCCAGTCGCACAGGGTGTGGCCGCGATGGGCCTCTTTACATGATGCAGTGAGTGTGTTTCCAGGCTCATCCTTAAATCTTGCCTCCCTGCTGCTCTCCGGTGTGTCTGGTGGTGCATTCTGCAGGATCACAGCTTTGTTGTTTGACTGAGGCGACACTGGTTTCCAATGTGGCTTAAAGCAGTAGGTTCTCTCCCTTTGGGTGTGCTTACCGCCACCACGTCACAGCCCCCCACAGGCCATTGTGTCGCCCCTGGCTTCGTCCCCGCCCAGTAGCCTCAGTTCCGCCGTCAGTTTGCTGTCGCTTCGCCTTCAGCGGACCCTGTGCTCACTGCCCCACGTACAGGTGCACGTCAGGTACTTGCCTTTCTCCTTGCTCATGTGCTTTCGCACACTCCCTCCAGTTCACGCAGGCCGCAGACAGCAGGTTTGGCCTTTTTCACAGCTGAGTTGTATTCCATCGCATAAAGAGGCCACATCTTCTTGCCTGCCCCTGTTCGTGACTTGCCTGGAGCTTGCAGTGCGTGTGTCTCCTCTGTTCTCGGGCAGGCACGTTGTCTTTGTACTGGGTCTGTTCTCTGATAAATTGCATTAGAATTCGAGAGGGGCTCAACTGTTGCCTCCATGTAGAAGTCAAGCCTTGCGTGGCATCCAGTCACCAAAAGGGAGCTAAAGCTTAGCAACAAAAATGTTTCTAAGCAACTTGAATATTTTCAACATATTTTTTTTTACATCTTATATTCTTGACAGTGACGTTTATTTCATCTGGGAATCCGTTGCTGGTAGTTTTTGTTTTCCCTTTTTTTTTTAAAGGTTTATTTATTTGTGCGCACAGAACTGGGGCACAGGCCAGAGGCTCAGGGGAGGCGAGAGGCTTCCCCAGAGACAGAGCGGGGAGCAGAACAGGCAGATCTACGAAGTACACTGCTGAGGGAAGCAGTGGGCAGGTCAGGAGAGGTCTGCCGCGCCCTGTGGTCACCTCCGGGGCAGGCGGGGATCGAACTCATGCGGAAGCGGCTTTAGCTTCTTAGTGCTGTGCTTTAACCCGCTGCGCCACCAGGGAGGGCCTGTTTTCAAATTGTTAACAACAGGCATGATGTTTTCATAGCAGTTTCAGGTTTATAGCAGCGTTGAGCAGAAAGCGATGGGCCCTCCCTGCGGAGCTGGCCGTAGCTGCTTCAGCACGAGTGGATCGTGCTGCTTGGAGCCCTGGCCAGGGGCGAGCCACTTGGTGCAGCACACCTCTCCTGTCTTGCTCGCAGCTCGCTCAGCAGTGTTCTGGTCCCCACTCTGTCTCTGGTGAAGCCTCTGCTCTCCAGTTGTGTATGATGCATCAGTCAGTCAGTCAACCTTTAAAAAAAAGAAAAGACTTTTCTTCGGCTTGGACAAATACGCGCATTAGAGGTTTGCATTTTACATTTAGGCCTGTGGTCCATTGTCATCTCCGGTTTGCGCAGTAGCTGTCACTTCCTCCTGCATCTCATCAGTCTTATCGTGCCTGTCCTCCCCCCCTAAATTTCTCGTGTTCAGGCCTGTCACCCATTCATAATTTTGAGGACAGTTGTCACCGACTTGAAAATAGCGCCCATGGGTTTAAAGTCAGAGCGCGGCTGCCCCAGCTGGACAGGCTCCCTGTGCTGTCCAAGCCGGCCGCCGCCGGGATTGTTCACTCATGGGCAGTTCGGCTTCTCCCCTCAGGTCCCGGCCCATCCCCACCGCCCCACGAGGGACGCCCCCTCCACGCCTGGGCCTTGGCTCTGTGCTCGGCTGCTGGCTCCCTCCGGCCGTTGTCCGGCTTCCTCGGCGTGTCCCCGTTCCGCGGGCCGACGTGGCTGATGTCTCCCTTCCAGCCGGCTTCGATCCACTGTGCCCACTGACCCCGTCTTGTGGATCCGTTTTCTCTTCGGGACATGTCGGGCTGTGCCTGGTGTTTGTTTTGGGCTCCAAGCTACCAAGTTCACCCTTTTTCTTTTTCATAGGCTAAAAGGTCAGATTCCTGAAATAAAGCAGACTTTAGAAATTCTCAAATACATGCAGAAGAAAAAAGTAAGTACGCTGTCTCTGTAAATACACGCGGACAGACTGCGGCAGAGACGGGGCTTCCGTTCGGCCGTGGCCTGGCGCTGGGCCCTGCCCGCCCGAGCACGTGGGCCGGCGCCAGACGGGGCTTCTGGCTCAGGGACCTCGCGTCTCCCCCGAAGCCAGGTTCAAGCGAGGGCTCCGGGCCTAGGGCTACTTGCTTGCACATAGTGCTTGTGGAGCTTCCGTGCCCTTTGAGGTTATGTTGGGTGCGAGGAGGAAATGTCTTCGAGGGCCTCCTGCGTTACGCTCCAGCAGAGTGAAGAGTCCGAGACTCTCAGAGCTGGTTCTCATTTCCAAGTCAAAGAAGGTGCACTGGGCAGTCGCGCAGCAGCTTGCGGCTGCACCGCCTCGTGCTTGCTGAGTGAAGCTGGCGGGACGGGCCAGGCTTCGTGGCCGGGGCGCTCGTGGCCAACCGAGCGAGCGGGGTGGGGGAGCGTGCTGCTTGCCGTAGCCTTCAGGGCGGTGGGGCCCTTCCTCTTACCTCAGTCTTGCAGATCAGCAGTGTGCGGGGCGAGAGGCTGGCGAACAGCCGAGCCACGCTCTTGCTGCCGCTGCGGCTCGGCCCGTGCGCACCTGCTGGGCCTGTTCACAGTCCTGTCACTTTTTTGCAGGAGTCCACCAGCGCGCTGGAGACCAGGTTCTTACTGGCAGACAACCTGTACTGCAAGGCCTCCGTCCCTCCTACCGATAAAGTGTGCCTCTGGCTGGGGGTAAGTAGAGTTCACCTCCCTGTGACTGGCGGGAATGAGGCCAGTGTTCTGGTTCCTGTCACAACATGACTGACCCCCGAGCACGATGATGGTTGTCACGAAGGCACGCGCGGGCCTGTTCTCTTCAGCTGCTCTGAGTCTCTGCGCGTAAATACAGTCTTTATACCACTGCTCCTCCTCAGACGGGTGTTGATTCCACATAAGAGTTTCTCCCACAAAGATGCCTCTCCTCATGAGGTTGGCGTCTGTTTTGTCGAGTTGCTGAGTCTCTGCTTTTTTAACCCTCCTCAGTAGGCCGTCACCTGCCTCGTGCCGCATCAGTGGCCCTCGCAGGGACCCTGGGAGTCATTTTTAAAAGCCATTTGTCAGATGAGCAAAGCTGTTCTTTTGTCCTGACCAAATGTAGATCATGCTCAGATGATTCTCTCAAGTTCAGAAAGAACTGTTGAGATCCGTTCAGCGATGTCAGCACCGCTCGGCTCATGATGGGCCTCGATAGGGGCCGTGGGTGGTTCTCCTCATGTCCTGCCAGCTCACAGCCTCGCGTGTGCACAGCTAACTGCAGCAGCCCCTGACTGCCAGCCCAGCTAGAGCTACAGGTGTGCGCTCGAACGACCGCGGCGTCTCAGCCTCTGGCTCTGCGTCCTGTGTGCTCTGTCAACGACCGCTTGCCCGGGGCTGAGGTCCAAGACCCTGTTCTGGCCTGTAATGCCCGTGATGTTCACTGACTGCTGGGCCTTCTCTCTTCAGGCGAATGTGATGCTTGAGTATGACATTGATGAAGCGCAGGCGCTGCTGGAAAAGAACTTAGCGACTGCCACGAAGAATCTCGATTCTCTTGAGGAAGACCTTGACTTTCTTCGAGATCAGTTTACTACCACAGAAGTCAGTATCCTTTTTGAAAAAGTAAGCCACACGGAAAAAAATTTGCAAAATTGATCACCTATATTAAAATTCATAAACTCTGTAAAAAAAAACAAAAGTAAGCCACACGGGAGGAAAGGAGAGAGGTGTGTCCCTTTTCGACGCTGCACTGCTCTGGCGAGATTATTCCGGCTGGAGTATCGGTGCGCTGCGTGAGGGCAGTAAATGTCACACTGGGAATTCTTAAATACGTCTGTAGATTAATGGAATCTGAAGTGTGAAGGGGGAAACACTGACTCCGGTGTTCTCTAAAGACACCATCACGACCACTGAAGCAGTTTCGCATTAACTAAGGGCCTCCTGCGTCCCGCCGCTGTTACATGCGTGGGGAACAGGACGCTGGGGAGTCGACACCAGGTCTGGCGCTGTTCGAACTGACCGTTAGAACTGACCATTTCAGAGCAAAGCAAGCGTTTGCGCGCACCCCCCCCCCCCCGAGGCAGTGAAAAGTTAGGGAAAAGTGGAGGTGAGTTGGACCTCGAGGAGAGAGAACTGCGGCAGGTCTCAGAGGCGGTGCAGGCTGTGGGCAGCTGGGAGAGGCCAGCTGCGGCTCTGCCTGTCCTTTCTGGCCCCGCAGCCAGCCCGGACAGACGCCTGCCCTTCCAGAGCCCGGGCTCCCTTCTGTAGTCCTTTCCCGCGTGGCCGCGCCGAGCGGCACCTCGTGCTTCCTCTGGGCACGACGCCTGAGTGCCCCTGTACTGACGGAGCCTCCCCGGCTCTTTGCACGGCGCTCCCACGGGGCTGTCCTCGCCCCTACACCCCTAAATGTGCCCTTTGTGTTCCCACACTTGATCCCTCCACCCGGTCGGCAGGGGCCTGTTCAGCCCAGGGGAGAGCGCCCTTCTGAGCATTACGAGCGCGCGTCTGGGGTTGGCTTGGTGAGGTATGGCTGCAGCTGGAAGCCGCCCGGGGAGAGGCTCCTCCCCACCAGCCGTTGCCTAGCGGAGCGAGCTTGCGGGTTGCCGCCTGAGGCCTGGCTCCGGGCACGGAGGCCCAGCTCCGGCTTCCTCTCGCCTCGGCAGGCAGCTGCACTTTAGACCGCTGTTGGCTTTTCTTTGACAATCCTCGCAGATATGGCCCGGGTTTATAACTGGGATGTGAAAAGAAGAAACAAAGATGACCCCACCAAGAACAAAGTGTGATGCTGGCACTTCAACCTGCGGTTCCGTTTCCCAGACGTTATTTTAACCGCCCCACACTTTCTCCTTAAGGGTTGATAGAACTTCCAGTGATTTTTTTTAACAAGAATGATAATTAAACCTTTTAAAAAAGATACACATCATTTTATTTATTTATAAAAGCAAATTAATTTCAGATACTGTATGACATTAGCAGTATTATGTCTTCCCACCTTCCCAACAAAGTAAACACTGCTTTCATCATTTTGTTTTGCTTCTTTGTCGTAGGAAAAGTCTTAGCTGAAATGGCCGAAAACTGTGAGGTCTGCGGCAGAAGCTAAACTCTGGACACGTTAGCAGTTGAGTTTTTCTTTGCAGCTGATGTGACTCTCACTTTGATGAGATTAAACCAGGTTAGAGGCAGGAAGAAGTCGCTCTGACTGCTGGCACGCTTGTTTCTTTGGTGGTACATGTGGGTTGTCTGCTGGCCCCGAACATTCCAGTACTGTGCACTTGCAGGGAGCAGCACTTTGCCTTCCTGAGCAGCACGAGGGCCGGCGAGACATCTTTCCTTCCCCCTTGTTAACGTGCAGTGTCTTCGCGCTGCCAGCCGGTGGGTGCTCTTGGCCGCCGTGAAGTTGCGCTACTTACTCTTAGCTGAGGCAGCTTTGCATTTCTTAGCAGTTCTCCAAAGCAGCTGGCCTGTACTCTCGAGATAAATATAAATCTGCAGTGGTTGACAAGAGTTGTGAGCTTTTTTACCCACAATAAAACCTCATAGGAATAGTCAAAAGTCCCACGGGAAGCCGTTGGCATGGAGGCCGGTAGCCGGCGCTACGCATTGTGGGAAACATAACCGTCGTGTCTCCCTCTGTGTAGTGACAAGTACGCTTGTCCAGTGTTTTGTACGTGCATTTCATGTTATTAAAACAGTGAAGTCAAAACTGGTCTGGCCCCTGTTTTCATGTCACTCTGCCGCTTCCGTACTGTACAGGGCGCTGCGCAGGTCCGCAGGAACGTCACGAAACCCCTCGGCAGGAGCTCGGATAAGCAGAATCGGGAAGCTCGTTGGGCGAGACACCATAGTTCCTGGCTCGGTTTCTCTTTCACAGTTTCAAACTCCAGTGCTTACAATGTTGAGCCGTAATGTCTTTGCAGTATTGTAAGGACTGCATTCCTTTCCCCCAGTCTTGTCACTGGTACAAAATGTTCCTGTCGATGTTAGGCAGGAATCTCACGCTCAGAGGTCTTTCGCTTTTCGTCCATGAACATCTAAATAGGAGTTTTCCGGTATTCCAGCACATACGAAGAAACAGCTGTTGAGACATAGGAGTCAAAGAACGAAAATTACGTTCATCAACAAATGTGAAAGTGAAATTGGAGTCACAAACAGTACTAGACTCTAATGACAGAAGTATGAAATCTTGCTTTCGCCACCTTTCAGCCTGACATGAAGTTGACGCTGAGTAGCACATGCATTAGCGATGCAACATGTCCAGGCACATTCACTTTCAGTCCCCCTAAATGTTTCCTGTCTTTCATTTCTTTTTTTATGCATAGGGTCTTAAACAACGATCTCGGTTTCACGATGTGTCCCTGCTTCACTTTGCTGTCGCACTGTTACACCGACCCGGTTCTATGAGGCTTGCAGGATGCTGCCATTCACAGACGCTGGGTTTTTAGAATATTTTCTCTGGGAAAACACCAAGTAGCAAATAACGCACCTGAAACTGTCCTGTGAGTTTTTCTTGGTGTGTAGAAGTTTCCCTGAGACCAGGTCACCAAACATGGGGTCACAGGGTGAGGGGAGTGTCCTCTCTGGGGCTGAAAGCGGGTTTGCTGTGCCCACGGCGGGGGCGGGGTGTTGGGCAGCACCCGACACCCCTGCCGCCTCGCCTTCCCGCCGCCTCATGCATGGACCCTGGCGCCGAGGCCCCTGGCCAGTGTGGGAGCCTCCCAGCAGCACCCTGCTTAGGCCCCCTCGTGCCACACCCTTGTGCCAGCCCCTGCAGCCCCCCCCCGGGTGCTCTCCAGCTGCCCTGTCACACAGCAGTTCCTCTCGAGGGGCTCTGGGCAGAAACTGCCGGGAAGCTCAGCCCACCCAGCTCCTTGCCTCGGAGCGGCTGTCAGGCCATCACGCCCGTTTCCCCACTGGCCTACCTCGTTTTCTGAGGCGTCTGGTGCCTCCGCAGAGGCGCGGATGGTTTGGATCTTGGGCGCGGGTGGAGCGCACGTGGGCCGGGGCGTGGGAGCCCTTCCCTCCCGGTGGGGCCGCGCCTTGAATGCAGTGACGTCATTCGTTGCAGGCCGAGTTTCCAGGGTTCACTGGCCCGTGAAGCTTTTCATGCATCCCCGCCATGCCTTGTGGTAGCTGGGCCTGGTCCCTGTGCGCCCAGACCAGCTCAGCTTCCTCCACATGCCAAAGCCACGGGTGCCGGGGAAAATCGAGACTAGAGGGAAGAGCCAGTGCAGAGCAGCTCCATCGGGATGGGGTAGGGTGGCGTGGTGGGTTCTTGGTTCTTGGGCCCTTGGCTGCTGAGGGGAAGAGCCAGAGCCTGTGCAGAGCACATTTGATCTTGCAGAAAGGGCAGCCCCGTTGCCAGACAGCAGTGGCTGTGGAGATGAGGCTGGAGGGCCGGAGGCCACCCTGGAGCGGGCTGGCGAGCTGGGCGCTGCCCTGAAAACCTTCCTCCCTGGGTCTGTCACCCCCCACCCTTCACGCAGCCCACAGGGAAAGAGGCTGGCAGTGTGGACAACGCATCGGGCCGAAGTGGATTTGGGTTGAAATCTGGATGAGTAGTCATTGAAGGCAGCATTTCTCACGCGTGCTAATGACTCATCAATTTTTTAAAAGTTATTTTTGAGGTGCATTGGTTCCCATACCGTATTTTAAGGACACAGGTTCACAGTTCAAATGCATGTCACCACACCCAACTGCCAAACACCCTGAGTCCTCTGGCACCCGCCATCTTGCTCTCACTGCCCCTCCCCTGGGAGCCTCAGCTCTGCTGGCAGATGCTTTGTTTCTGTGTTGCACGTGCAGGCGAAGTCCAGGATCTGCCTTTCTCCTGACTATCATCATCTGCAGTTCCTCCCATGTTGTTGCAAATAACAGTGCCTTTCTCGCAGTTGAATAGTATTCCGCTGTATGTAGACCACATCTTCCTGATCCACTCATCCGCTGCTGGGCACATAGGCTGTTGCCATAGCTGGGCAGTTGCCGCCCACCTGTACCCTCAGGAGACTGTTCTTCAGTCCGAGTGGGATCGAAGGCTCTGGCCGTCCATCTGTCTCTGACACTTGGTGTTTCCCACAGAGGCCCAGGCCACGTGCACGGGCGGAGCGGCTGTGCGGTGACCACACCGACGTCTGTGTGCTGGTTTCCATGTGGGTTCCAGGCTCTTGGCGCAAGTTGTTGTTGTTGTTGTTTAATCATAGAACAGTTTATTTTTACATCATTTTGTACATTTTTGTCCCCATCTCAATTGTCATCCCCGCGGGTTTCCCATCACCGACTCACCCGTGTCTTTGCACAAGTTTTACTGCTCTTTTGTTAGTTTTTCTTCCTGCTTCCATACATTTACACAAGGTCCTATTGTGTTGATCAAGACCGTCATTTACAATGGACGAAACCTTGGAGAGTGCGTGTCCGGTGACTGTGTGGCCTGACAGCCGGCCAGCGGCGCGGGCTGAGCGGATTCCAGTCGGAAGGAGCCGGTCTGCTCACACCCTGCGCGTCTTCGCAGCGAAGGCAGGCCAGCGCAACCAAGAGCCGAGACATCGTCCCTTTGCGAGCGAACACCTCAGTGACTTAGGTGAAAAAGTCAATGCCAGAAGCACAGATCACTTAGAGGGTGATGCTTACGGACAGTGGGAAACCTCAGAGCAGATGAACACGGGGCTTTGATGCGAACTCAGGCGACACAAACAGGGCACGAACTGCCTCGAAACAGAGCCCAAGGCTGATGGCGACCTCGGCCTGCCCCTTGCCCACCCTTGCCCATGCCCACAGCCCCTCGCTGCCTGTGCCCTCGCGGCTTCGCCCGCCCAGCCGCCTCGCTCCTGGCTTGGCCTGGCCCTTCCTTGGTGCTTGCTTCACGCCCACCGGCCAGACCTGCTCTTCACCCAGACTCTACCAGCTCGGAGGTGCCTGCTCCCTCTGTCCGTGTCGTGTTAGCTGAGCTCACGCCAGAGGCTCCCAGCCAGCAGAGGTGTGGGCACGCGACGTCCTCGCCTGGCTGCCCACGTTTGCCAGCCTCCGTGGTTACTGGCGTTGGTGCCACAGAAGTGGGTCTGCCTCCGGCCAGAGGAGCCCGGGGCCGAGGGGAGCCCCGTCCATGCCAGTGCTGGCGCTGCTCTGGCCTGGGCGCACTGGACTGCCCTGGAAGGAGCAGAAATGAAGGCAACGAAGAGCAGCTCCTGTCTGAGAGCCCCTTCTGGGCTCAAGGACTGGTCACCAGACTCCAGAGGCAGAAAAGCCTGGGCCCGTTTTTCCTCCGAGCACCATCCTACTCAGCTTGGCTTCCCGTGTGGGTGCTTAGGCTGCCACTGCATGTGTTTGAGGCGCTGGCCCAGGCTTGGGGTGGAAGATGCCCCTTGCAGAGGGCCTGTCTGCTCAGGCCCTTCCTAGGACGATCGGGCTGCGCTGGTGCCAGTTTCCACACTGGCCACTGGGTGGCGCGCGGACACAGGCAAGACCCCAGGGATCCTGGAGAACTGAACAGCAGCCCGCGGAGGCCAGGCCAGAACGGAACTGAATTCACCAGATCAATTTTCAGCTAAAAGAAAAGTAACATGCTCGGTACAGTTTAAAGGAGACCCAGCGCTGCACGGTGCTCAAAGTGCTCGGGGTACAGCGCACACCGGTGCAGGTGTTGGATCTACACGTTTACCAGCGCAGCTGACGGTTCCTCAGGCCGCCGCCGCAAGGAGTGTGGGCGCTGAGCCCCTGCCAACGAGAGGCCACACTGTTACCGCTCATTTCCCGGGTTCTGCAGATGCGCCGACAGCCCAAGGCCTTGCTGCACTGCGGGTTCCCGTGGGGGTGAGAGCGCGGAGGAAGGCGCAGCGCAGACAGCGGGCGAGCAAGCGGCGGCAGCTGCAGCCGTCGGAGTCGCGCAGGCGTCTGGCCGCAGCTTCGGACACCGGCGGTCAGCGGAAGTCACAGGAATGCGACGGTGTCGCCAGGCTTCACCTAGCAGAATTGGCGGATGCTGAGCAGGAAGCGGCTTCCGTCGGCATGAGGGAAGCCACAGCCTGCCGGTCTGGCCGGGAGCAGGGCCCCGTGGGGCTTGAAAGCAAAGTGCGCAACGCGGGGGCCTGGACGCGACGCTAGCCGAGCTGCGCCCGCGGCCCTGCGCGGGGCACGCGGCCTCCTCGCCCAGCGCCAGAGCCGTCACCGCCCCTGCCACTGAAGTGGCCACGCAGGGGCCTCGGAAGCTGTGCGCGGGAGCTCGGCCTGCAGCCAGGAGCTGTGCAGCTTCACTGCAGTTGCCGTGGGCAGGAGCTGCTGGACACTTACATTTCAGACCGTGGGCCCAGTCGCTGGGCGCAGTTACCTAAAGTATATATTCGCGCACGTTCGCAGCCCACAACTCATACATAGTGGAAATGATAGATGCAGTGCTGAGACAGCTCTTTCGTGTCCTGTAGGCCGCATGTGGAGTGATGGTTCAATATGAGGGAGCACAGACTTCTGCTCTACTAAACGCCGTAACTGAAGGCAGAAGAGTTTGACAAAATACAGGGCGGGGAAAGAGCTTCTAGACAGCGGACATGTCACTAATTCACAAGAAAGAGTCGGCGTGTGCTTGATGACTGCTTTCGGCTATCAGCTTTCAGCTTGATGACTGCTTTCAGCTGCAAAGCCGATCACAGACAGGGCGTCAAAATATTCACTCATCCTTGCAACAGGTGAACTCGCTGACTGTCACGCGGCGTCTCGGCGGGTCCTTGGGCCTGGCGTCAGCTCTGTGCTCGGCAAGCGGCGTGTGAAGGTGCTGGCCGAGTGGCTTCACAACCGCGCTGACTTCGTGACGTTCACCCGGCGCCAGGGCCCCTCAGCACAGCAGGAAGCTGCCCTTCGTGAAGCGGCCTCGTGATCGCATGGAAGAAGCTGCGTGGCGCCGCCGGGAGCGCTGACTGTGCCTCGCTGGCCTCGCGCTTCCGTTTGCCGCGCGGACAGGACGCGGGCTGAGTGGCGGCGTCAGCTGGAGCTCATGCTTGCTTCTCCCACAGCTCAGACGCTCACTAGGCAGCTGAACACCAGCCTTCTGAGAAGCCCGAATCCACACGGAGCCTTCACCGCCAGGCCCTTCGGAGGCTGCTGGCTGCAAGCGCAGAGGCGGGGACACATGAAGCGCTCGGGCGCCGGCGCGAGGACCTTTACGACGGGGCCAGCGGGCAAGAAGAGCTCGGAGCCGGTCTCCCGTGCGTGTCGCCGGAGTGAGGTGAGTCGGGGTGACTGGGTGGGAGCAGGACGAGAAAGCAGTTGCGAGCACTCCAGGCTCGAGAACAGCTGCTGAATTGTGTGTGTGGAACTGGGGTATGGGGCAGAGGAGGGCGTGAGAGGACTCAGAGGCGTGGGGAGCAGAAGGGGCGGATGGACCGAGACCCACCGCCGAGGGGCAGCGGGGGTCAGGGGGGCCTGCCGCGCCCTGGGGTCCTCCCTGGCCGGGGATGGACTCGGCGGCAGCGGTGGCAGATACCTGAGACTTAACCCGAGGCCACCAGGGAGGCTCCTAACTCCCATTTGCATGGAACTTCGGGGTGGAGAGGTGGGCAGAGCCTCTTGGCAGCGGAACCTGCTGTCTGCCTAGTGGACGAGACCGTGCCGACTCGTGAACGTGTCACGGGGTCAAGGGCAGAAACAGGCTCCCTCGGGGAGATGCCAGAGTACTTCAGGAGAGGGCTGGTGGGCCGTGGCGGAGGGTGGCCGTGGGCATGGCAGGGACTTGGTGTATTTTGAAGACAGAGTGCGGCGCTTGAGAAGGGACTGGCGGGTGCGGGGAGGGACGTGTGCAGCTCAGGCTGGACCCCACGTTTCCGGGGTGGTCTCAGCTGCAGGGAGGAGCCCGGGAGGACAGCAGCTCGAGGGACGCCTGTGCACCTTCTCGAGGCCCCGCCCTTCTTGCCGGTGCTTCGTCTTCTCTCTTTGTGAACCCTGAACTTTGTTGGGCCCCAGGGAGCCCGATGCTGGACCCCAGGTGGGACCCACGAGGTGCTCTGGAAAGGGAATGGCCGACACCGTGGCTGCCCTGCAGTGCAGCGACGGGGCGAGCAGGCTGCACTGGTGAGGGGGACACAGGCCACCATCCCAGTGTCTCTGGCAGCAAACGGTTGTGGCAGGAGCCTGTGCGTCAACAGTGGACACGGCCTGCACAGGTCCGATTGCGCGGTGACAGTGCTGGGTAGGACAGAGGCCTGGAGCCTGCTCTGGGCTGGGCCACACGGCAGATACCGCATGGCCACTGCCGTGCAGCTGCCTCTGAGGACCTGTGTCCACTGGGCAGAGACAAAGTGAGACGTGACTCGGGAACCCGCGGGCTCATAGGTGGCTTTCGGGCTGTGGGCTGGCTGGCCACGGCGTCGGGGGAACTGCGGACTTTCGAGCAGCGTGGAGTGGCCTGTGCTGATTCTCCCTTCCCTGTGCCGTGCCCCTTCCTCCCTCATCCACTCCTGACCAGGAAAGCGACAAAACTGCAGGACGCGGCCCCCTCCGCCCAGCTCAGAGCGAAACAGCTTGCTTTCCTTCCCTCCCCCCCAGAGTGTCAGCTCAGGGTGTCCAGAAGCGAGTTCCACATTATTCCCAGCCTGGAAACAGCTACCAGACACACAGTCACATAATCAACCATTTTACTAAATACAGGCATATTTTCATCCACGTTTCATCACAGCGCACGACAAGGCGAGGAAAGGGCACAGCACATTTGTTCTGGAATATGAGACGATCTAACCCAACATGCAGTTGTGGTCTTGTGACAGGTTAGTTTATCTTTTCTTTACCTATTGTAGTAAAATAGCTTCTAAAGCTTTATCCTTAGTATGGTATTAACACCTGGCTTTTTCACACTTATTTCCTAAAACCCACTTAGTGCAGTGACAATGGCACTGAATTCTACTAAAAGATTTTTAAAGTTTCTAGAACTTGTTTGAGCGATTAAGCTTGGCCATCTCTGCTGTATCTATGCTATTTTAAAACCTGCCTAAAAAATGTAAGGAATGGGAAAAGTATACATATAACGTATTTTTAGTCGAGAAACCCAGAGAGAAGTTCTGCTTCTATCCTTTTTTGGAACTGACAGAATCCAGTCAACTCTTATTTATCCACTGGATAATCTTGCTTTCAGAGTTTCCTAAACATAGTGAAGTATGAAATTTTGTGATCACCCAATCCATGTAGCATCTCATTTGCCTTCGGCAACCACACGCTGGGACAGGCTGCCCCTGCCCAGCCCAGCTGTGGGGAACGAAGAACGTGGGTGCGGCCGGGGGTCTGTCACCACGATCTTCGTTATTTGGCTTCTTTGTTCTGCCTGAAGTGAACCCCCAGACTTTCCGATTCAGTCACACTCACGCAGCAGTTCACACTCACTGTGGAAAGTATGGCTTTTGCTGAACTAGCTATGGTCCGAAAAGTAACGTAAAGCGTCCCCTCCTTCAGGAAGGTGAGGCAACCTCCAGCCAGCCTTTCCGTCTCCGCTGTCGCCCCCTGAGAATTCGGACGGCAACCAGGCAGCGAGTGGCCACGCGAGTCTCTTGCTTTGCTCTTGGTGAAGTGGGGAAGAAGCCTCACAGCCCGCTATGGAGGTCAAACCAGCCATGAATGACTGTCCGCGACTGGAAGGGGACCGCCTGGTGCCCGCAGACACAGGCGGGGGCCTCCTGAATGCCAGGGAGCCCCGTGGTGCTGGGGGCAAGAGGTAGGGAGTGTGGGCTCCGGCGTTTCTGCTCCTCACACCGCACCTACACACAGCTGCTCGCCGCGCGCCACCACGCTTTCTTGAGTGTGGCAGTAACTGTGCATGTGGCCTCGTGCCTCCTAGTCGCGCCGCTTATACTTCCCCTTGCAAGGGTCTCAGCAGTAGCGGCCCACGCCCCTCGCCTGCTACAGCCTGGCGTGGGCTGTTCTCGCTGTGGAAGCGCGCCTTGCCGTGCTCAGTTCTGCGAATTGCTCCCAGTGTGACGCTCTCCCCCTTTCCTCGTTACATGTTCGTGACCTATGAACGAGCTGAAAGACCAAGAACCGCCTGTCCTGTCGGTGGGGGTGTTTTTCTGGGGGCCCAGCTCCCCAAGCCCCAGTCCCCAAGGGCACACGGCCTGGCACGGGCCACATCGGTGGTTCAGTCCCTGTGACAGCACCCAGGCCCCACCCACAGCCTGTCCCAGCCCTGCCCCCGTATCCACAGTGGAGGTCGACTGCTCTTCAGTCACACTCAGGTCTTCTCATCTCAGTCACTTGCGGCCAGGCAGGAGCGCGTGGTTTCACTAGCATAAGCACCTCCTCTCTGACTTGACCACCTCTTCTGAAGAGTGAACCACGTTTGGGACAAACCCACTCTTCACCCCTTCCCAGCCCTCCTGGATTGTGATGTCCCCCCTTTTAACCAGCTCGTAGATGTCCCTCGTCAGGTCTGTGAAGGCTTTCTCCACATTGATGGCGTCTCGGGCCGATGTCTCAATGTACTTCATGCCGTACGCAGCAGCCAGTTTCTCGGCCTCGTGGCGTGTCACCTGCCGCTGGGTATCCAGGTCACACTTGTGACCCACCAGCACGAACACAATTTGGTAGGGCTGCACGTGCACTCTGGTCTCTTCTAGCCACTCGTGGACATTCTGGAAGGACCTGCGGTTGGTAATGTCAAATAAGAGAAGGCCGCCTACCGAGTTCCTGTAGTAGGCCCGAGTGATGGATCTAGAACACAAGAGAGAAGGGAGGAGTCAAGCGAGGCCCAAACTCGGACACTGCCCTCTGGTCGAAAGGACTTTCCGTTTCTGACAGGGACTACGGATGCCATTGAGTAACAGTGCTGACAGGGAGACTCTAGTTGGACCAAACTCTGGAGGTGCTGCTCACGGACTTGCAGGCGTTTCCACAGTTCACGCTGCATACTGGAGGCTCCCCTCCTGTGAAACAGGCCTCCTGGGCCACGGGCGCCGTGCAGCACCGACGTTAGGTCCTGTGAGCAGGAGGGCGCAGTGGTGCAAGCAGGAATTTGTAGAATGGAAACGAATTTGTGGTGCCCTGTCTTCCACTTACGATGCTTCTCTTTCTAGTTTCTCTCTGTTCAGCCCAACAGGAGCCCTCCCTCCCCTCTGCTGTTTCCCAGCCACCTGGGGATGGGTCCTTAAACACAGCGTCCTGAGGCTGACTCGGGCCCCCAGCTGGGGGAAGTCGCTGAGCTACCCACCTCTTCCTCACTGACAGGACTTGCTGACGCTGCTCTACACTTGCGGGGTCTCTTGTACGGAGACAGAACCTGACGGGTCTGAGGGTCGCACCTGGGTGCTCATTCTGTGCGAGCGCGAAGGCGCCGCCTGACAGCGCTCAAGGGCCGCCACTTCCCGTCGCCTGCGCTGCAGGGGTCTAGGTGTGTTTTCAGGGTTACTGTCTCCTAAACACTGAGGGCCTCAGTAGCTTAAGGCGTTGGGCTCATGGGTGATGCCCTCGGAGCAGAGGGTGCTAGGAGCCACCTCACAAACAGAAGTTCGATTCAGGCAGAACAGCACTCGAAGGGGCGTTACCCCCCCCCCCCCCCCGAAAGTGTTTCTCCGCCCCTGTGCGGATGGTGGCTGGGCCTGGAAAGTAGGCTGTGATCTGTGGACAGCCTGGTTAGGAAGTCAGAGGCAGCCTGGCATAGAATGCTAGTGGCTCGTGAAGATTTAGAAAGTGCCAAAGCGCTTCGTAAGCATAGCACGGGACCACACAAAAACAAAAACCTTGCATGCATGGAACATCTTTTCCTTCAAGGACGAAGGACTACGTCGGAAAGCATTTTCCATTTGTGACAGAGAAGGATGAATATTCTGGGAAGTCCTACAAAGTAATGTCACCCAGTAAGAAAGAAGTGAACGAACGTTCACACAGATGCCAGCAAACAAACACATTTCTGAGAGCGATGCAGCGCCCGTGCAAGCGCCACCTGCCCTGGTGCTGTATGTGCAAGGGGAAGGTGGAGACTGAAATTTGCCAGGGTCGCCCGTCCACTCCCACCAGCGCGTGTCCCACAGAGGGAAGGGAGTGATGGCAACTGCTGCTCCCCCAAAGCCGGTGGCTTCCCTGCTCCCCGCTGGCTCTGCCTGTCTCATGCTGCTTCTAGGCAGACACTGCCCTGGCCTCCGCCCCCGCTGTGTTCAGACTCATGATCACAAAGGAAAGCGCGGTCCTGACTGGCTGGTCCAGGTGGCACCGGGGCAGGGAGGGGGCCTTAGGCAGCAGCTGCCTGTGCCAGTGCTCAGGTTGCCAGAGGCCAGGGCCGCTCCGTTGCCAGGCATCCCCTTGTAGGCTGTGCTCAGCAGGCCGCCCAGTGTGTGGGATGTTGGGGGGCCAGGGGCAGCCATTATCAGTGTCTACTGCGCACGCACGCACACACGTCTGTGCAACACACCTGTCTCTGCACCCCCATCCGACCCACCTATGCCTAATGTCGTGGGCAGCCCCCCCAACGCGTGTGGGGAGGCTGAGAGGGCGCCTGCCCGCAGGTGCCTACCCGTCAGCCCGGGCTGCCCTGGGCGGCTGCCGGAGGCGTGGTGCCAGCGGAAGATCGACCACTCTCCTGGCCAGGGCGAGGCTGCGCCCGCGCGGGAGTCCCCGCGAGGTGGGGTGCCCTGGGCAGTACCTCCCGAGCCCTGGCAGCCGCGCCTCGCGCAGCGATCCCCGCCCGGCCCCAGGCCCCGCAGGCCCGCAGACCCTCGCCCGCCCTCAGCACCTGAAGCGCTCCTGGCCCGCGGTGTCCCAGATCTGCAGCTTGATGCGCTTGCCCGGCTCGATCTCCACCAGGCGGGAGAAGAAATCCACGCCCACGGTGGGGTCGGAGACCTGGGCGAAGCGGCCCTCGGTGAAGCGGCGGATGAGGCAGGACTTGCCCACCGTGGAGTCCCCGATGACAATGAGCCGGAACTGGTACAGCCAGATGGCCTCCATGGCC